CATCCGTGGACTATAATCATCTGTGCTGTCACAGCACATTGAAGGGTGTCTATGGACTGGCCGAGCTCTATCTTTATCCATACATTTGACAAAAATACAGATGATTTCAGTTACATTTATTTGGTGGGGGATTTTAAGGCATCATGCACTCAGATTTTAATTCATCTAATAGTTTTAGAGCAGTACTGGTCACTAGGAATATATGCGAGCTGCATTTGTCATTTATGATTTCCTAGTTGCCGCATTTAAAAAGATGTAACAGCTAAAATTAATTTTAATAATATATTTTACTGGGTATATATACATTGGGTTATGACGTAGCCAAAACAGTATCATTTTGACATGTAACCAATATTTTAAAAACCATTAAAGAGACATTTTACCTTCCTTTTTTTGTAATAAATCTAAATCTGATGTGTTTTCACAGTCCACCTCACCTGCTAAATTTTAACCAGAAATGCTTGGTCTGTATTTAGATTTCATAAAATTTACGGTTAAAAAAAAGTAGATTCATTCACATACCCAAAGTTGTCCCAAACAAAAACTGAATTAATAGATCTTAAATTTAGATCTGGATTAGATGAAAAATTCAGCTCTTCAGGCACACCAGATATTTTTCAAGTGCTGAATAATTACATGTGGCTAGGGGCTGCCATATTGTACAGAGAGACCCCAAGCACCTACTGTGCGCATCACAGCAGGTCAGACAAGGATGAGTTGGACAGAGCCCTTGTTTCCTCTGGGTGGGGAAGCCTATGTATGAGACACATACAAATAGCAACAATGTAAGGCAGGTCATGACACTTGCTAAGTACACAGAAAGGAAAGCATTCCAAGGAGAAAAGGGAATGCACAAAGGAAGGCCTGTGGCAAAGAAACAAACATTTAGAGATTGGTAATTGTGGTTGGGCATATACCTGGGAGGGTAGAAATTAAAGTTTAAAAAGACAGCCTGGGGCAGTTCTGCTGATAGCCTCAAAGAGCAAGTCAAAGAGTCTGTTCTCAATCCACAGTTAATGGGGGATAAGTTTCTGGTGAAGAGGAATCTTTTAGAAAGATCCACTTAGTATTGATGCGGAACGGCTTGGTGGCTAAAAAACCAATTAGCTACTGAACTAGTCCAAGCAAAATATAATGAAAACAATGGGGGAGGCGGTAGGAAAGGAAAGAAAATTCGAAATGTAATAAATATGTATATAAGGATACCAGGACTTGGCAATGTGGCCAGGAGCTCAAGGAAAAAGAGGAGTTAGAGAATTCTGTAGAAACTGAAATACGGAAGTACAGATAAAAGGCTGGATGGGAAAAGTTATTTCTAACGTATCTGCACATAAATGTTTTAAAAGGAGTTGGAATATATGTGCGTACAGGCTGGTGGGGGGGGGTTGGAAGAGACATTTGGGCAGACATTAAAAGAAGTCAATATCTATTTATAGAACAGTCAAATTAGCAGAATGGGCGACTTTCTTAGAAATAATGTATACTATTTGGGGCGAGGAGGGAATCTGAGTAAATTAAATTACAGTACTATTCGTTAGAAAGCTAGGCAGCTGTTGAAAATTACTGCTCTTAAATTATATCAAAGGATAAGGAAAGCTGCTTAAGATATACTTTTAAATGAGAACTTTCAGCTTGGATAATAAGATTCCAATTTTGTTTAAAAAGGATATGCACTGGGGCGCCTGGGTGGCTCAGTCGTTAAGCATCTGCCTTCGGCTCAGGTCATGATCCCGGGGTCCTGGGATCGAGCCCCCCATCGGGCTCCCTGCTCAGTGGGAAGCCTGCTTTTCCCTCTCCCACTCCCCCTGCTTGTGTTCCCTCTCTCACTCTGTCTCTGTTAAGTAGATAAATAAAATCTTTAAAAAAAAAAAAAAAAGGATATGCACCTACGTTCTGTATAGCACAGAAAATGTGTGGAAGGACCCACACCATGCTGTTAGCCAGCATGGATTATCTCTGCGGAGAAAGATCGAAGGGGGCAAGGGCTTTTCCTTTTTATATCTTGCTATGGCTTCAACTTGCTACAGAGAACACATTATTTGAGTTTTAAAAAGGGAGACAAAGGAAAGGGTAAACCATGTATTCAAACCTCCAGAAAAATGACTGAAAGGACTTATATCAAAAAAATTATCTCTGGGCCATTTTAATTTTCTTATTTTGAACTTTTTATATTCTAAAATAAATACATAATACTTCTATAACCAGAAAAAAACAAGTCATAAAAGGAAATAATCTATAATACTGATGTAACAATCAATTTTAAATCTGTTTGCAAAGCCAAAGGTTACAGGGTTGGGTGTTCTTTAAAGAGGTTTGGATCCAATTTCTTTTACTTCTTTGGGGCTCATGCTTACTTTTATTGCTGCTGAAGTGATTTCCACATTTTTTTTAATGATTTCCATTCAGTGTGGCCAAAAAGGAAAATCGAGGCCAACCACAAGGCAAGCCTTCCTGAGAGGAGACAAAAAGCCTCTGTAACCTGTGGAATGAAAACTTTACCAGGAGAACGTGACTCTTTTGTCATGAATGACTTCAGTTGCTGGTGGACAGAAATTTTTAACGAGAACAAAGAGCATCGAAGCGATTTCAGTGCTCTGGTTGTCAATCCCGGCCAAGCACACTCGTAACTTTATATTATAATGATGGGGACAAAGAACAAGGTGTCCCATTCACCGCCAGCTGGCTGCACCCAGAGGGTCCAGGGCCTTTGCAGAGCCTTTCACTGAAGTGGAACTGAGAAGGAACTCTCAAGGAGTGCAAAAGGGACCGTGAGCGAGTAAATCATCATCAACCATGTAAATAATGGCAGAGAATGGGTACGGAGATGAAAAGGTGCCTTCTGATCATTCACCAATGGAAAGATGTGCACTAAATCAGGGTCCTTTCTGTCTGACGCTGTTGTTTTTACTGAACAGTTAAGCACCCAAGGAAATACCAGTTGGGTCTTAAAGACAATTTATAGCTAGGCTGGCCTCATTGCACCTGGCTGTGTTTTGACAGCAGGTTTCGTCAGTTTATAGCAGAAATTCTTGTCTACACTATAAGCTGTCACAAATGCAACTAGACCTTGGAAAAAATGCACCGCTCAGAGGCAAATCTCTCCCTTCGCCACGCCCCTCCCCCTTTTAATGAAAAGCAAAAGCCTCCTGCTGGTGGCAAAGCCTCCTTCTCTTCAGGGGAAATTAGGGAGCCTCCTGGGACTGAGAGGGTCAGCCCCAGTGTTACAGCCCAAGTGGGGTGCGCCTGCTTCTGGGCACTCGATTAAGGACTCTTTCTTTTCTCTTCCCTCGGGGCTAACTGTTGAACACAGTGGCCTTGCTGTTTGGAGCCAGGAAATTTCGGGATCCTGCTCTCTGAGCTCCCCACTCTTCCCAGCTTCCAGGCCATGGAAAGAATGTCTGGGCGCCTTGCAACAGCCTGGCCTCGGAACACAAGGCCCACAGCTTTGGCGAATGCCCTCTGCCCCCATCTCAGACAAGAAGGCAACGCTTGGCTATTTGGGATCAGACAAACCTTAACTTTGTTTTTGAGATTTTTCTCCTCAGTAAATGGCTGGATTTGGAAGCCCCCGTCTTAGAAATCACAGGACCTCACTAGAATACATACAAGTTGAAAGTGCCGCCTCCCAGGACCAGGTGCTGCCTTACCCACCCCTGTTTGGTTTTGCTTTTTTAGACCTCAGGTATGTATGTATGTATGTATGTATGTATGTATGTATGTATTTATTTATTTATTTATTTATATTGATTTATTTATGCATGCATGCATGCATGCATGCTCCCAGAAGGGGCCAAATAAATAACTTTTTAACAGGTGACACGCATCCCCAAACAGAAGGCACTGCATCCTTTTTAGGAACGAGTTCATGGCGGCTGGTGGCCGACATTTTCCCCTGTGTGATAGGACGGACAAAGATGTGAAGAGAGGGATGAAAAGGTAATGGAGAGCAGCCCCTCCTGTTCCTTAATTTCATGGTTCACAGACATTCATTGACATTCAGACACTCCCAAGGGGAAGCTCATATAACCAGCCATGAAACTAGAAACGAGCAGGCTAAGGAGGCTGCTTGCCTGGGCCCAGGGCAGAGTTTCTCACAGCCATGGCGGTCCACTCCCAGACACTAGGGCTCACTCTGATGGGTCTGCAGCTGCTCGGGGGGCGGGGGTGCAGCCCAGACTGGGAAACTCCAGGCCTGCAGCATCCCTTGATTAGCTCCACACGGGATGCCACCCTCAACTTCCCAGGGCCTATGCTCTGGCAAGGGTCGGCCCTCGGGGGCTGCCTGTCAGGCTCCAGGAAGCACAGGACCTGGGGAGAGTGGAGGGAGGGGAGGCTTCAAGCTAGGCAGTTCCCACGGAGCTGGGACTGGTCGGGAATGTCTCTCCCTCAGAGGTGCCCATGGGCTGAAAGGGAGGGAGACAACAGAACAACCATTCAGCTGGGATAGGTCCCAGTCCATAAGACGGAGAAATGAATCTACATGGCTCATTCGGATCATGCCAGCTTGAGGCAGGGATGCAGAACCAGGCAAGGAAGTTGAGGGGCAGCTACAGCGGGGAAATGATGGAGAACTAAGGGCATGATAGGTCAGAGGAAAGCTGTAGGCAAGCCAGCTCACTCACTCACCTGGCTGTACCCAAAAAGCAGAGCTGGAGACCACCTGCTCAACCGACCAGTGGCGTTGAAGTGTTGCCTGGTGACACCACCCAAAATATACACCACACTTTGCAAGATCTCATGTAACACACAGTTGAAGGTCAACCAGCACGCCCACCTACAGCACCACAGTCCCTTAAGTCAGAGGCCGGAGGCACACACCATGATCGCAGGCAGAAAAGAGTGGGAGACCATCATTTTCCTGACTTACAGATACTCCACCTCAGTACGATGGTTACTTTTATAACTACACATACAAACAAATCATTGTCAAAATTGATAACGCTAAGCAGCAAGCTTCATTATCCTCTACAGACCCTCCTGAGCAGTCATGTTGAGCACACCTGTGGTATTCCAGAACTCTCAAGCCAGTCTCGGAAGATGTTTTCCACAGACAACTCGAGCCTTTAAAAATAAAACAAAAAGTCAAGGATTAAAACGTTACAGAGCACTTACTACATACATAGCACCTTTTTCTCTAACTATTCGGGTAGATCACAGCATCGATCTTCCAGAGAAGGACCTGTTCCCTGGGGAAAAGCAACGCTGTGCCAGGTTCAAGTGCAGAAGGCACTCAGTCACACTCAGCGCAGCTTCAGTCAACAGGAATGTGCACGATGGAATCTAAAAATCGGAGGCACATTATAATAGGTGCTCTTAATGCCTCGAGAGGAACTATTGGGTTGGGAGCCCCAATTCAGGGAGGACAGGACACATCAGGCACGACTGCTTCCTCCACAGTTGGCAGCAAAGTGAAATCGGAACACTCCGGCACTTAGTACATCAACATGAAATTTGAACTTTATCGTGACGGGGGGCTGCAACAGGCACAAATGGCCCAATCCACTGTCAGAGCGCAGAGGGGCCCGGCTGCGGGGAGCACGCGTGGAGATTCCACGCCTCTGAAGCAGGCCCACGGGCTGCTTTATTTGAAATAAAAGTTGCTCGTTAAGTCTGACCCAAAGTCAGCTCAAATTCTTTTGGTTTCATGTCCTGCTGATTTGAATACTCCTTCAATTCGTGAAGTATCCAGTATATTCAGGGTCAACAGACCTTAGGGTGTGTCTTCCTGTGTTCCTGGGCTAATGATGTTTAAAGCAACCGCAGTCCCTGTCTAGATACCCCCGGCCCCTGCTCCATCTCCCCGCTCGCAGAGGCCTTTCCCGAGCCCTCTCCCAGGCTGTGTGTATGGCATCCGTCACACTTCCTGCCCTCTGCGCCATGGCATTCCGCACTGCGTGCCTGCCGTCTATTTCATTACTTGCCCTTTAACTGTCCCCTCACTGGATCGAAGTTCTCTGAGATCAGGGTCTTTGGCTGTTTGACTCACTTCTCGAAATCCAGAATGGAGACCAGTTCCTGGTATAAACGATGCTTCCCATAGATATTTTTTGTTTGAATGAATGAAAACACATTTCACTTTTGTTTCAATAAAAAGTATTCCCTTTTATTTATTTATTTATTTGAAAGATTTTATTTATTTATTTGACAGAGAGAGAGAGCACAAGTAGGCAGAATGACAGGCAGAGGGAGAGGGAGAAGCAGGCTCTCCGCCAAGCAGGGAGCCCGATGCGGGGCTCAATCCGAGGACCTCAGGATCATGACCTGAGCCAAAGGCAGCCGCTTAACTGACTGAGCCACCCAGGCACCCCTCCCTTCTAATTTAAAAACCACCTTTCCCAGTAAGAGATTCCCAATGTGTTAAACTCCAAACCTATAAGAATTTTATATATTATATTCTACATCCTACATAAATATATATACATATAGATACATACCTATATATACACACACATACACATAGATATATATAAATAATATTCCTTCCCTCCCTTTAGGGATTGCAGAGAAGTTGTGGAAAGATACAATGCCATCCGTGATGTTAAGGTGCTGAAGCCAGTGCTCCCTCACCTCCTGGGCTATGCTCCTGGCTGGGCAGTAGTGAGAAAGGGAGGAGGGAGAAGCGGGCCTGGATGGGATTGGGGAAGAAGGGGCTGACTGATATTTTTGCGACCTTCTCTTCCCTAGTGAGAAGCAAGTCACTGGTGTGCCCTGGTCTTCCCGGGCCAGGGCAAAAGCAAACGTTGCAGAAGGGCTGCAGAAGGGCGCAACTGTTAGTATTTCCAAAGAAAATGGGGGGGGGCAGAAGGGACTACGCAGAGTAAGTGGTTTGGATTCATTTCAAGATGATGCCCATCTGTGGGATGACCAGCAGGGGAAGGGGAGAGGCCAGAAATGGAGAAGGGGAGAACAATGACCTCCCCAGGATGCTTGTGTTGGGCTCCTCCAGGTTCCCGGGCTCAGTGCAATTATTGGGCGTGCCTTGTATGCAGATGCCCACAGGGGCCACCGTCCCCGAGCCCTGCCCCACTACTTCTTCGTGGTCATTCAACAGCCTCAATCCAGGTGCGAGCGGCCAAGTTCCTGCTGTGACGCAGAGCGTGGAGGCGTGTGTGTGCATGCACATGTGCACTCGTGTGCCTGTGTGAGTACATGTGCAGCACGTGGGGCAGGGGTGGGTGGGCGACTGGAAGGGAGGAGGTGGCTCTCAGAGCACCTAAGATCCAGATCACTGTTCTTCTTTGGGCTCGGTCGGCCGCACTGAGAGGTGCTGGCAATGCCCTTCACAGGCCTGACTGATCTGCTGGGAGGAGGAGGAGAGCAGGGCTGAAGGGGTCCCTTAGAGAAGTGTCTGGGGAACTCAAAGCTGATTTACTTTCTAACAAAACGTGTAAGGCTGCAAGGACAGACAGACTGTATAATTTCCGCTGAAGTTAAGAGGCTCCGTGGAAGGCCTGCTCTTGTGGGGAAGGAACACAGACCATCCCCACCTTGTCTGGCACCCAGGAGGGGGGTTCACTTGGTGGTGCTGGGTTCCTGCCCTGGGGCCTCGACAGCTGGGGATCTGCTGGTGTTCTAAGTTGTCTATCCTGATTGAGAGGCAGGCCTGCTTTCTTCCGGGTCCTTACTTCCCTGAAGCTTTTCCTAAGCCACCCATTCATCTGCTTCCTTTCCAGCCAGAGAGAGGCACTGGGATGTCCAGAGCCCTCCGGAGCCCTGGGGCCAAGAGCTCCCGTCACCCTCCTTCCAGCGATCTCAGGAAAGCCAAAGGAAGAGGCTGACTCTGACCCAAGCTTTGTTGAGCTGTGGCATTCTAGGAAAATGGGCAATCTTAAACCTTGCCCAACTCGAGAGGAAGAAAGGGGATTTAGAAAGGATTTAGACAAGAAGGGTAGTGAGGATCAAAGGGGCGAGTACACTGGGTCCACAAGGGGGGTCGAGGGAACTGGGGTTCAATGTCCTGAAGAAAAGAAGTCTGGGAGTGACTTCATGGCCATTTTTGAGTGATTTTACAAAAGAGGGCGAACAGCTGTTGTGCATAGCCTTGGAGGAGTGAGTAAGAGGACATGGACATAAATTTCCTTCAGGGAATTTTAGCTGAAACACACAGTTTTTTGTTTTGTTTTGTTTTTTAAAGATTTTATTTATTTATTTGACAGAGAGACAGCGAGAGAGGGAACACAAGCAGGGGGAGTGGGAGAGGGAGAAGCAGGCTTCCTGCTGAGCAGGGAGCCTGATGCGGGGTTCAATCCCAGGACCCTGGGATCATGACCTGAGCCGAAGGCAGACGCCTAACAACTGAGCCACCCAGGTGCCCCAAACGCACAGTTTTAAGGGTGGCATGGGGAGGGGCCGGGGAGCTGAGCCCTGGAATGTCACTGAGCAAGGCCCAAGTCTTCACCAGAGAAAACTGAAGAATGGGCAAGGCTTCTCCCTGCAGCATTGGTTCGGTGGATGCCTACAGGGCACAAGGGTCTGTGGAGAGGCTGAGTTGGGAACGCCCAGGGCTGGACTGTCTGACAGGGACACGTAACAGGCACACCCACAGTGCCACCAGTGCTAATGCAGAGATGTGGGACTACGTGTGTAAGAGGCACGGTGGGAGGACGGTGGGAGGCGTGTCAGGGGAGTCTTCTTCAAGGAAGCAAAGCTTGAACCATGTCATGGAGGAAGGCTGTGCTGTCCCCAACGATGGGGCAGGGCCAGCAAAATAGAAGGAAAGTGCATGCAGGGCAAAGGGGGCAGAAGCAGGAAAGTCCAAAGCCATGGTCAACTTGGCAGGCACACAGAATGAGGTGAGGGAAAAAAGGGGTGTTCTGTGAGAACCCTGACATCCTGCCATTGAGCCTTGGCCTCATCGAGGAGGCTTGGAGCATGTCCACAGAATGGCACAAACAAAAGGGAGTCGAGGAGGAGTAACAGAGGGGAAAGAGGCCGGAGGCAGGGAGACCAAAGTGGAGACTGTGAACGATTTGTACTACAGTCTATGACCTGAAGAGCTGGCCGGGCCAACTGTGTGGTTATTCCACTGGAAAGTAATAAGGTAAATTTTGTGTTGCCATATTTAGTATTTGCATACACAGGTACTATTATGGAGTGGCACCAAAAACAAAGCAAACAAAAACCCCTCTGCCCACTACCAAGTAAAGGCATAAAAGTAGTGGCTATTGCTTACTGAATACCTACTGTGTACCAGGCACTAGAGAGAAAAATCTCATTTAAACTTGACGATATTTGCACAAGACCAGTATTAGTATCCCCATTTCAGAGATGAGCAAATGCAGGTTCTGGGAAGTTAAGGGACTTAACCAAGGCCACACAGATCCAAGTCTATGCTGCCTGGCTGTGAAGCCCTCACTTTTCTTTCTCTGCTGAACTTAGGTATCATGATACATCAGTTGTGATTTTTTGGGGCAGGCAAGCTTGTGGAAAAAGGCCTGTGCTTGCCCCAAACAGCCCTGCCTTCTCCTTCTTGCTCACATCTCTCCTGCCAAAGGCGGCCTGGCCCCTGCTGTGGTCACCCTGTTTGTCTGCCCTTCAATTACAGTTCTGAAGAGATGGGGAGACCCTTGGGAGGGGCAAAAGTGTAAGGGCAGGAGAGTTCATCGTTCAGCTGCATCCAGGAGCAAAAGACACTCTCCCGTGAATGAAAAGAACATGTGTTTTCAGATCACTTTCCTTTGGAAAGGTTCATAGCATCTTATAACCATTATCACTTCATTCCTCATAATATCCTTGTGAAGTGGGTGTCAATTATTGTGTGGCTTTGAGCAGATGGAGAAACTGCAGCATAAGAAGACTGGCCAAAGTCAGGCCAGACAAAGGGCTAAAGAAAAGACCCAGGTTTCTAGACTCCCAGTACCAGTGCAGACATTGAACTGCACTGACACCTATCTGGGGATTGCTAACAGGGAATGAGACTTTAAACTATGAGAGAATGATAAAAGCAATAACTTCAGCTGCTAAAAAAAAAAAAAAAAAAAAAAAAAGAAGGTACTATAAGTGGCCTTACTTCCCAAGGAAATTATGAGAGATGTGTGACAATGCTGAATTTTTTTTAAGTA